AAGGAAGACTTTGAAAACACATCAGATCTCAAGAATCTCCTGCTGGATCTCTATACTGACATGGACAGGTGATGTGTGAGGAACGTAAGGAGGCCCCATCGTTTGATGGCAATGAAAATGGTCGACCTACAGAGGACTGAATTCAAAGACACCCCGAAAATCAAAGTGAAAAAATGATGCAGCAGGCGAGTCCATTTTGCTGAAATGTCATTGCAGCAACTCAGAATGGTCCTCAGTAGTCTGTATGGCCCCCACGTGCTTGTATGCATGCCTGACAATGTCGGGGGAGGCTCCTAATGAGACCACGGATGGTGTCTGGGGGGATTTCCTCCCAGATCTGGACCAGGGTATCACTGAGCTCCTGGACAGTCTGAGGTGCAACCTGGTGGCATCGGATGGACCGAAACATGACATCCCAGAGGTGTTCTATTGGATTTAGGTCAGGTGAGCGTGGGGGACCATTCAATGGTATCAATTCCTTCATCCTCCAGGAACTTCCTGCATACTCTCCCCACATGAGGCCGGGCATTGTTGTGCACCAGGAGAAACCCAGGACCCACTGCACCAGGAGGAACCCAGAACCCCCACTGCACCAGCGTAGGGTATGACAATGGGTCCAAGGATTTCATCCCGATACCTAATGGCAGTCAGGGTGCCATTGTCTAGCCTGTAGAGGTCTGTGCGTCCCTCCATGGATATACCTCCCCAGACCATCACTGACCCACCACCAAGATGGTCATACTGAACCATGTTACAGGCAGCAGAACGTTCTCCACGGCTTCTCCAGACCCTTTCACGTCTGTCACATGTGCTCAGGGTGAACCTGCTCTCATCTGTGAAAAGCACAGGGGGCCAGTGGTGGACCTGCCAATTCTGGTGTTCAATGGCAAATGCTAATGCAGCTCTATGGCACCGGGCAGTGAGCACAGGGCCCACTAGAGGACGTCGGCCCCTCAGGCCACCCTCATGAAGTCTCTTCCTGATTGGTGAGAGGCATTCACACCAGTGGCCTGCTGGAGGTCATTTTGTAGGGCTCTGGCAGGGCTCATCCTGTTCCTCCTTGCACAAAGGAGCAGTTACCAGTCCTGCTGATGGGTTAAGGACCTTCTATGGCCCTGTCCAGCTCTCCTAGAGGAACTGCCTGTCTCCTGGAATCTCCTCCATGCTCTTGAGACTGTGCTGGGAGACACACCTTCTGGCAATGACAGGTATTGATGTGCCATCCTGGAGGAGTTGGACTGCCTGTGCAACCTCTGTAGGGTCCAGGTATGGCCTCATGCTACCAGTAGTGACACTGACCCTAGCCAAAGGCAAAACTAGTGAAAAACAGTCAGGAAAGATAAGTAGGGAAAAAACTGTCAGCCTCCACCTGTAAAACCATTCCTGTTTTAGGGGTTGTCTCACTGTTGCCCATCTAGTACACCTGCCATTAATCTCATTAACACCAAAGCAGCTGAAACTGATTAACAACCCCCTCTGCTACTTACCGGACCAGATCCATATCCCAGGAGTTTCATTGACTTGATGCTATACTCTGATTAAAAAGTCTTTCTTCCATATTTTTTTTTTTTTTTTTTTGCGCAGTGTATTAGCAGGTGGTATACTTGTTGACAGCATTCGTTTATGAAGAGCATGTGGTGCATACTAGCACATTATATTGCCTGGGAGGGCTAAACGAGTTTACAAGCGCTGTAAAAACACAACTCTCTCCCCAAGTCATTCTATACTCGATGGGCTGTACAAGTAATGCACCATTTATCGTCTACATTGAGAATTGTATCTACTCCCCAATCTGCCCGCTAGTCTTCCTGCAATCACTAGGCTCCAGCACCAAGACTCCTGGCTGGTGTCACCCTCTCCCTTACCCAACCTCCCCAGTGTGCTGTACCCCTCCCTTGTTTTAGGTACCACATTTATTACTTGCTATACATGCAGCACCTTCTGGTTCCCTAAAATTTGTAGAGCAGGAAAATGTCAGAAATTTGAGGTACACAATGGACTATCTGTGTAAATCTGGTCATGCATGGATCAAACGGCAACTGGTTCAGCAGGAGATGGCAGAAGTTCAATCAATGTATGGGCAAGCTGATCGTACCCCAGTGAATCCATCAATCGACAAAGGAATAACAAAGTTGTCAGTGTTTTTTTTTTTTTGAAGGGGTTTCTTTTCCCACATTTGATTACTCCTGGCAGCTGTAGCTGCTAGCAATCATTATGTTCTTCCAGCCAGGAAGGCTCCCCTACTGGAAAAACAACAGCACTGCAGGAGGCATTCCCCTATCCATACAGACTGAGTTGATGGAGGTATTGATTGATTTTTTCTTCCCTCCCATTTGTGATGGAAGGAAAGAAAATCAAGCCATCGATTGGCTGCCTAACACAGTGAAGTAACAACCCAGCTCACTGTATGTCCAACTACACCATTGCTTTTATTGTATCATCGTCACGCAAACTATTGTACATACAGCAGCCTCACAATGGTTTTGGACACGCATTATTGCTCTGCAAGTCCTCATGCACACAGGACGTTTTTACAGCAGCTGTTTTTGACTTGACTTTTTTTTTTTTTCTACAGCCAATAAACCCCCCCCCACCTGTTATCCTATGTGTCCATGCACACAGACTACAATCAGTGGTTTATGGCTGGGGGGAAAAAACCAGGACAAGTAAAAACGCTCCAACACGATAAAAATTGTGGCATTTTAGGACCTTTTTTTTTTTTTTTTTTTAACAAAAAAAAAAAAAATTAACCGCTTAAAAAAAAAACCCCCTTCATGCCTAAGGGTAAAACAAAACTAAGCACAGTTCTGCAACATTGACATGTTAATAAAACCGCACATATCACCACAACTACCTCCTCCCTGGTCTCCTCCTCCTCCCACGCCCGATTGCAGGACTTCTCTAGGACTTCCCCCATCCTCTGGAACTCCCTACCCCAATCCATCAGACTGTCACCTACCCTCCTCACCTTCAGGCGCTCCCTGAAAACCCTCCTCTTAAGGGAAGCCTATCCCAACCTCACCTAACACCCGACCTCTAACCACTAACCTCCTCCACTCCTCCCACCACTCCATCCCCCACAGCCATCTCCTCCTGTACCACTTTCCCCTCCCTCCTAGATTGTAAGCTTGAAAGAGCAGGGCCCTCGATCCCCTCGTGTATTGTACGGTTTCTGTCTTGTCTCATGTTCTGTCCCCCTTGCTACTGTACAGCGCTGAGCATACCCTTTGGTGCTATATAAATACTGTATAATAATACTTTGTACATCCAGCTGGATTATACTGCGTTTATTTTCATTTGGTGGTAAATGGTAATGGATAGCTCCTGATTTTTTTTTTTATCATCAAAAGGAAAACTGGGCCAAAATAGTAAAAAAAAAAAAAAAATAAATCTTTTTTTGTATTTAGCTGTGTGTTTCTACGACCATAACCTACCGCCAAAGAACCCAAAATAAATGCTCCAGCTCTTGCCGCTCGCAGCGATACCACATATGTGTATGTTGTCTGTACCCGTAGTACAGCCCAGAAACAATAATGCGCATTTTATTTTTTTGTTTTTTTTTTACCGAATACCATTTTTTTAAATCTTGACTTTTGACCCAAACACTAACCCTGGCACTGAACTAGATCAAACCTTGATCTAGGTATTTTTCTTTAATATTTATTTTTTTTTTTTACAAAATTATTTTCTCTCTATGCCAGGAGTTAGAGAGATACATTGCATCTCTTCTCCATTCATACAGAGAGAAAAAAAAACAAGGGGGCCAGGCTGCACAGTGACTGATCACTGTGATAGCCAATCAGAGGCTATCACAGCAATCATGTGACCCAGAATCGGGAGTCCCGATCGTTCGAACGGGACCCCGGGCTCTCAGTGACACCGCGGTCTTTGTGCTGGGAGCACGCCGAACAGCGCACTCCCAGAACAAAGACGTGTACGCAAATATGCGGCCTCACGGAAAAAAGCCCAGTTCCGTGAGGCCACATATTTGTGTGACGTCAGCGTCAAAGGGTTAAAAAGGCTTAAAAACACCAAAAAAAAAAAGCAAAACAAAAAAAAAAACCCGCAGCTAAATGCTAATGCAAAAAACACTGAAAAAACTCCCGTTTTTAATGTGACAGCTAACGTTACCAGCGTTATTAGAACGCCCCGTGTGCATGGAGCCTAATGGGGAGCCACTTCACACCAGGAATTGCACCGGAACACAGTGTTCCACATACAGCTACGTGCAGTGCGATTTCTGCCCATTCATTCTAGAATTCGCCCCAGTAGTGCATGCACTACTTTTGCAAACTCATCCCATGGTACTTGTGTGTGAACTGGCCCTCATACTAAAAAAAAAAAAAAAACCATCAAAGTCAGAGGTACACCCCAGCCCTCACGACTAAAGCAGCTGAGCATTAGAAAATCTCTTTAAAATACACATCAAGGCAAAAGTAAGAAATACTTTAATTACAAAATTTGTAAGAAACTTTCTAATATAGGAAAGTTAGAAACTGCCCAGATGGGGAAAAAAAAAAAAAAAAAAGTTCTATATAGAATGTGTTACCCCAATATAAGCTATAAGGCTCTCAGCCGGCACAACATACAGAAGCCAGAATTCTATAGATTAATAAATAGCTTTATAAAGCCTATACATTATTGCTTGTTTGTAGCTTTTCCATCAAGCCATAGGCCATGATAGTTGACCTCCATTTTTAAATAAAAGGTTGCCCTGGCATGGCCACGGTCCTGTGACGGGACCACTGAATTTTGGATAGGAAACTTTATTTTAAAAAAGTTAGAAAATAATCAAGTGTAATAAGTGTCTGAATAATGTACAAGAACAACACCGTATACTCTATATACAAACGCTTAACACAAGAGGCCCGCGGGTCTATGGCGAAAACTGCGATTCGTCCAGCCAGTAAGATTTGTTATATACAGAATATATACACAACTGTCCTTCCGGACGATGGAAGACTTTACACAATATACAAGGTGCAGCATGTAGGGGGCCTCTACTCCGCCAGCCGTCTGTAGAAGAGCAGATAGGGATTGGATGTAGACTGAGTGGAGGGGGAAATCGTAGCCAGAAAGTCCCTTTCTTCTGTGACCTTCACTTCAGAGTCATCAAAAAGCAGCCATTTGCCCTCGTACTCCTTTAGAATTTGTAACAAATGGGCAGCGGATTTACTGGAGCAGAGTCCATCTGAAAAAGACTGTACTTTCTGCTCGCTATCCAAATGGAGGTCACCATTGGCGTCGGATAATCCTTTATCGTCCGAAACTCGCTCGGCTTTAGGCGTCTTGGGTGTTGGCAGCTGCTCAAAGTCAGATTTACTTTTTTGGCCGCCAAGAAGTCCAACGGCATCCGTCCCCTTTTTATTTACTTTACTATTCGATGGTAGGTTGGTATTGGCTCGGAATGAGGTTTCGCCGTCGTGGTTTTCGTCGGAGGTTTGGACATCCTGAGTTAAGGGTTCGGTCTTCGCGATGTCGTGGTGCTCGCCGGGGAATTTGATCTGGTTGAGTTCAAAGTTATTGAGGTCATCAAGTTTTACATATGCGGTATAATGGCCACTGCTTATCGTCACTCCACTGTGCATTACTACCGCGAACAGACCATAGACGTCCGAGGACGGCTTGGTGCTCCACTCCTCTAGAGACAGTTGTAATGGTGTCAACAAAGGCGTGTTCACTTTAGAGAGGCCTCCATAGCAGTCAAATCTGTAAGAACACAAAGTGCATGTAAACCACAAACTTCTCCCTTATGGTCTATGACCACTTGCCCTCCAGAAGGTTTTACCCCCTCATGACCAGGCCCATCGTTTTTGCCCCCCCCCCCCCCCACGTGACCAGGCCTTTTTTTTGCCCCCCCGGGTGACACAGCGGTCACATGATCAGGAAAGGTTCCGATCGAAAGAAGATCGGGACCTTTCCGTGAGTACCAGACGTGTGCTGGGAGCGCGCACTCTCGGCACATATGTCCTTTAACAGAACGCAAATGTGTGGCCGGCGTGAAGAGGTTAAAAAGGTTTCTGCACGATTGTTTTGCAATTTCAGGTGCAACTTACATTGACATCTGTATATGAAGTCGCACAGATGTCAGCGAGCCGCACAGATCAGTGGCTTTCAGAATCGCACTGAGTTAGTGTGACTTCAAAGCTGTACTCTGTGTTAACTGGGGCTTAGTCTATTCCAAAAGCCAAACGCCTACAATTAGGAGCTTAAGCCCATTCAAAAAAGGAACAATTTACTTTCCAATACACTGCAAACAAATACTTGCTACAGCAAGCCACTTCTTCAAGAACATGCGTCTTAACAGTGACCTTTACCTTTGTATGAGGCAGAAGCAGCCAATCAGGGCTTCTACGTGACACAGAACCCATTCTCTGCAGAAGTCACAGAAGTGGCAAGTAGTCAAAGCCAAAGAAGAATTCTAGTAAACAAGTATGCCATAGGATTTTTTTTTTTTTTATTAAATGAAGCATTGAGGGGGAGGGGTTGACGCGAGAGTGGAGTTCCAGATGTTTTTGTGTTTTACTAAAAGTCAGGAGTTACAGTTTTTGTAGCTGCTGACTTTTGATAAACACACTTACCTGTCCCGGGGTCCAGCGATGTACTCACCCGCGCCGTCCCTTCTCTCCTTCTGCCCTCCATGGTACCAGCATGTGGGCAGCTGGCTAAGACAGCTTGCAGCTTCACAGCCTGGTGCACATTGTGCATGCACAAGTCACAGCACCATTCCTGATTGGTCTGGCAGCCTCCTGGGACCTGTGAAAGTTCCCAGGAGACTGCAGGAGTAAGGAGGGGGCCGAACTTCCAACTCACTTCGCTGCAGCGAACTAAGTTGAAAGTGGGAGCGGGTACCTGTCAAAACCAGATACGATACCCGCTCCCCCCAAAAGGTGTCAAGTATAGCAGTGGGGGGGGGGGGGGGGGGGAGAAGAGGCAAACAAGCAGAGCATCCGCTTTTGAGTGGAACTCCGCATTAAGTCATATATTCAGCTCCAATGTATAACCAGACTTACTCTGAGCTGTTTGCAGCGAAGCATTTCAGATGGATGGTTACTATTTCCGGGATCTTGTCAAACAAAAGGCTTCGCTCTGCTTCTGTGTAATGATGGCAGTTTTCACAGAAGTATTTATCCTCTCCGACAATTCTCTCCACCGACGCAAACTGGGATATGGCCCATTTCAAGGTCTTGATTTCCATTCTGGGATCAGGAGAGACTGTAAAACAGAAGAAAATTTTATGTTTTCTATATGCTTGTCCAATCATCCCATCCCAAAGCTGAATTCTGGGCAAAACCTTTGAACGAAATAAAATTGGTAAGGTTATCCTCACAATGTTGTTTCCCCAGACTGCTTGCCATTTCAAAAAGACAGGAAGAGAAGGAAAAGCTCCCCAAGGAGGTCACAGCATTATTATTTATATAGCGCCAAAAGGTTTGCTCAGCGCTGTACATTATAGCGGGGGACAGAACATGAGACAAGACAGTAACAATACACTACACAAGGGGTTTGAGGGCCCTGCTCTTTCGAGCTTACAATCTGGGAGGGAGGGGATAGAGGTACAGGAGAAAAGTGGCTGTGGGGGATGGAGTGGTAGGAGGAGTGGAGGAGATTGGCTGTTAAGTGAGGGTGGGGTATCACAAAACTAAGCCCTGTGGAATTTGGCCTACTGTTTGGAAAAACTGAATCAGAAGGTACACAGGGGCTAGCAAAATGTAATGGTAAATTAAAAAAAAAAAAAATGTTAAAATTGTCTAAACTTTTTCCAAATTTTGGATTTTTTCCCTTCAGTTTAGTATGGGAAGATTACAACAAGCATCAGGTTATTTCTGTCCTCGATGCTGTTGCAGATTTTCACTAGTTTCCAGTTTGGTGGTCAGCAGGCCGGTAAAGCAGGAACCCCCCCACTGATGACAGGCATTGTAAAACCTTCCCCACCCTATCTAAAACTAGAAATTGTTTCTGGTTGGATATGCACATCATTCCTCATCAACCCTCTAAAGTGTAAGGATTGCTCCCACCTTTTACAGCTTGCAAATTTTCATTCCTTCTGGCGTAATTCAAAATCCTGAGTAGCCATACAGGTGCAGATCTCATTGCTGGAGATGATTCTCTTCCGGAAGCTACATCTAAAACAGATCTGACTATCCATGCTAATGTCCACTTCTGACAGATGGTGGGTTTTTCTCTCGAACAAATACATCTTCTAGCAATCTAAACCAGTATATCACCACCCAGGGAAAATTATTGCAGTCATTTCTAAACATCAGCGTGGTGCTGATACAGAGTACTTGCATGAATATTCTCACAAATGCTCCCGATACAGATACCGAAACCTCTGTGGTGCGATCTGAGCCCACACAAAATGAATGGGCTCACATAGCACTGCAAAGACTTGCAGTGTGATTCCTGTCCTAATCACATGTGGCTTCCCATGCAGTTCCCGTGTGAACCCAGGTTGGTCATAGTGACTTTGAGCCCGAGTTCACACTTTCCTGCATGATGGGAGCCAGAGCTGCTGGTGGAACCCATCAGCAGCTGCAGCTTGGGCTTCTCCTGCCTCTCCCACGGTTTTGTTCCCTTCAGCCTCCAGTGGTTAGAGCCATCCACTGTACCCCCTCCCCATCCCCTGGTCCCGCTGTACCAGAAAGCCATTTCCCCCGCTGTCAGACACCGAAAAGCTGCTTCACCGGTCTTAGATTTGAAATCCCGGTGGCTCTCTCTCCTCTACTAACAGTACGGGCTAGGCGGCTTCTAATTGGTCAGCACCATCACAATAAAATCCCTGCACCGGTGAAGTGACTTTTTGGTGTCTGACAGCGGGGGATCGGCAATCTGGTACAGCAGGATCGAGGGCAATGGGGAGGTGGTCAAGTGCATGGCTCGAATCGCTGGAGGCTGGGAGTACAAAGCCGAGGGAGAGGCAGGAAAAGCCCAAGCTGAAGCCGCTGATGGGAGCCAGAGCTGCTGGTGGAATTCATCATGCAGGGACATTTCCGCACAGCTCCTGAGTGAACTCAGTCACCATGACAAGCATGGGTTCACGCAGGAGCTGTGTGGGAAACCGCATGCGACTTGGACAGAAATCACACTGCATTCCTGTTCAAATCACATGCATAGCTTTGCAGTGCGATTTGAACTCATTCTTTTTGTATGGCCTCAAATCGCACCATAAAAAGGTATTGGTACTTGGTATCGGCAAGTACTTCACTGAAAGTATTGGTACTCGCTGTTATAAAAAAAGGTTCTTACAAAATCCACGGTATTTGTGCAACCCTACTAAATATGTATGAACAACATAGGCCAGCCAATCAGGAGACAATGTAGAAGGAAGAAAAAGTCTATACCAGGACAGAGAATATCTCCACTGCAAAATATGGAAAAATGTAAAAGGTCATATACTTACTATCCGAGTTCTCCTCCAGTTTGGGGGGATCATTTTCTTGCACAGGCACACTGATATCCTGGAAATCTTCCCTCCTCTCAGTGAAACACTCGCACTCAAGACAGCGGGTACGCAGCACCAGTTGGCCCTGGAACAATTTCTCCACCAGTTCCAACTCACTTGACTCTACAATTAGGAATTATATTGTTTCAGGTACAGAATGATGCTTATCCATTAAAAAAAAAAAGTTACAACAATCACCATCCAAACCATGCAAAGCGCAAGTATTTAGGTAAAGCACGACTGCTGGCAAGATTAATGGCCTTTATCCTACATCAAGTAGAGGACTGTGAATGTTAAGTGAAGAAAGACATCATTAGGGCAGCACAGTGGCTAAATGGTTAGCACTTCGGCCTGGCAGTACTCGGGTCGTCGGTTCGAAACCCAACCACGGCACCACCTGCATGGAGTTTGCATGTTCTCCCTGTGCCTGCGTGGGTTTCCTACGGGTACTCCGGTTTCCTCCCACACTCCATAGACATGCTGGTAGGTGAATTGGCTCCTGTCTAAATTGGCCCTAGTATGTGTATGTATGAATGTGAGTTAGGGACTACTGCTGAACGCAAGTTTGGTGCGACTGTAAACGACTATGGACACATAGGAAAACAAAGGAGAGTTCAGGGGATGCTGAAAAAAATGCTGAACAGCTCCTGAGCGTCAGTTTATCAGCTGCAGTGTACATGAGCCCTAAAGCAGCTTTTTTTATAAAAATACTGCAAGCATTGTTGATTTTCTAAAATGACCATAATATCTGAATAAGTCACATTTTTTTTAGTCTAAACGAGGGGGTTAGCAACCTTTTTCAAACTAAGTGCCATTTTTATAAGCATGAGACAACCGGCATGCCAGTGAGCAATAGCATGCTGTAGTCTTAGGCTGGCCATACATTATACAAAATTTTCTTCAGATTTTTGCTTTAGAGATTTACAAAAAACCATATAATAGAAGGTAAAACCTAAAAACACTTTCAAATTGGATCCAATTATGTAAATCTAAAGGAAATTGGGCAGAATTTGGACAGGTAATTGTATAGTGTATGGCCAGTCTTAATTTGTAATCAATTTTTATACTCATAAATTGTACTAAATGGCAAGTTAATCTAGAACAGACCCAAAGCATGCACTTCTAGACCTCAGATCAGGCTCCAGGCCTTTCACCTTCAGAATGAAGGGGTTTTACAAACCCACTGCTAGGTTCAAACAAATGAGCAGGTAGGGTCACCAACAATCTCAGGCTCTTATATATTTTTCGAATAAAGGGGAGAGAACAATGTTCTTGGACAACTTGCCAGCCAGCTTGCTAACAACCGAATTAACCTGTCTAACAGTATGCGTTTATAACAGGGGTTTAGTTAGCACACATTTGCAAATACATACGTAAGCCAAAGAGCCACGACACGGCACCCTGGTAATCTGTGGTCCTAACTCTAAAATTTTAGAGTAAGGACCACAGATTACCAGGGTGCCGTGTCGTGGCTCTGTGGCTTACGTATGTATTTGCAAATGTGTGCTAACTAAACCCCTGTTATAAACGCATACTGTTAGACAGGTTAATTCGGTTGTTAGCAAGCTGGCTGGCAAGTTGTCCAAGAACATTGTTCTCTCCCCTTTATTCACTATGTGATGCCTGTTTATGTGTCCTTGCTTCATAAGCCAGTTATAGACTTGGGCGGGTGGCCACTTTTATGCATCTTATATATTTTTCACCTGCTGATCCTGTAAAACCTTTGACCCATGTGTGATACTCACTGTACTGCATCTATGAAGTAGCAGTATTGTCACTTTAGGACATGCCTACAGAACACGTCTCGCCATAACATGGGGAGGCATTTGAACTAGGCACCAGCTGCAACTAGAGCTATGAGAACCTTGCTGGGTTTACTACTTTATGCATGAAAAGTTATGTTCAATTAGAAGTCCCCACAAGCCCCTACCACTGATTTTTGGAAGCATATTGTCAAAACAGTCCTACTGTATACCTTTGTATATGAGTCAAGGGGGTTGTCCAAATAAATTCTCTAAGATTTGGGATATATGGATGGAATCCAGGGACCTGGTGGCTTATGTTGATCTATCCCAATAAATGTTAGTATGATGCACGTTTGTCTTTGGCTTGGAATACTTCAATGCTGCAGAGTTTTGGAGTCCTAGTTCAACACTGGTTGCCATAAGACTTTAAGAATTAAGATGTCTATTACTTGTTTTACATGCCTGGGTATGCCCAATAGGCTTTGTTTTGTACTTTAAACTCTTAAAACGAAGAGAATTTGCACAAAAAAAAAAAAAAAAAAAAAAAAAAAAAAAAAGGACGAACTAGGCCAGGGGTAGGCAACCTGAGAGCCGCAGGACTACCAGTCCCATAATGCTTCTGCAAGTCATAGCTGTAACTGTCAGTTTTGTAATCTCTGCAATGCCTCATGGGAAATGTAGTTCAACAAATAAGAGAGCTGCAGGTTGCCTTCCTCTGAACTAGGCAGTGCTGACAATGCAGAATGAGGAGCACACAGGACAGCACTGGATTTCTGGTATTTTTTTTTTTTTTTTTTTGCACTTTTTTGCATTTTAGTAGTAGATTTTCACAAACCATTAAAGAGAAATTCATTGTAAGGGTTTAAATACATTTTAAAGTGGTTGTAAAGGTAAAAGGTTTTTTTTTTTTTTACATTAATACATTCACTGCATTAACCCTTTTACTCACCTGAGTCCGATCTGAGTCCAGCTCTCTGCACGTCTGCAGCAGCTTCTCTCCCGACTCTCACAGGCTTGGCTGTAATCAGCAGGAGTCACTGGCTCCTACTGCTGTCAGTCAAAACCTGTGAGCAGAGAGTGGGGGTCGAGCCGGGCCGTGTGTCTGAATAGACACAGGCAGCCCGACTCCGGAGCAAGCCCGCATGACTTCCCACCAAAAGGAGGCGGCTTCCGATGGTGGGAACTCTGCAGAGGAGACGATCCTGGAGTGCTGGTGATGGACCCCAAAAGGAGGAGGATTGGGGGTGCTCTGTGCAAAACTATTGCACAGAGAAGGTAAGAATTCCAGGTTTGGTTTTTTTCCCCTCATTAAAATGAGGTGCTTTAACGGTCACTGATCCCTAAAATGCCTTTCTGAATCTTCAGACTCCATTTTGCAGTAACGACGAGAATATAGCAGACAAGTAACCATTCTGCAATAAGGACGAGCAGATATAATAGACATGTAACTAACCATCCAGGGAAGTCTCCGCATCTTTGCTTTCCTCTTGTTTGCAGTCATCATCCTTCACTGGTTTCTCTCTCTCTGTCTTCTCAAGCTCTGGCTTTATAATTTGGGTCTGGGGCTCAGCCGGAGGACTTTTAGGTGATGTGCTGGAGCTTCTACTTAAGTTACAGAACTTGGATAGAATACTAGGCTGTTTGCCAGACTTCAACCAGTGCAGGCCTAACCTCGATTTCTTTTGAGTAGGATTGGAAGCAGAGCCTTCACTAGCAGTTTTTGAACCATCCACTTTGTCATCTTGTTTATCGGACTTCCTCTTAGATCGGGTCACCCTCTGCTCCTCCAAAGATGGCTCTTTGGAAAGCTTTGTCCTTTTCTTTGCATTACCAACTTCGTTCTCATTCTTTCTCTTCCCATTTACACTTGTTTCAGTCTCAGTTCCTGCACACGAAGAATCATTCCGAACCTTCTCCAAGGTGGCAGCTGGGGTTTCACAAGGCTTGGATCCTTTTTCAGGCTGGGATTTGGCTGTGTCTTCTTGTAAGCTTTTCCTTTCCTTTTTGAGAGCCTGACAAGCTTCCTGTATGTTCCCCAATATGCACTGCAAGACCTCCTGTGCGTCATGCTGAAGATATCCTTCATACATAGGATTAAGTTCCCTATTAAAAAGCATATAAATGCATTAGAAATGTAACACTGGGGGACAAACACACCAATGAGGAGGATCCTAAATGTATCAATTTTATCAAGTTATTAAAGCGTTCCTATATGTATTTCAACTGTAATACACTGGGTTTTATTTTAAAGTAGAAGAAAAAACTTTTTTTTCCCCCATTTTGGATGGAACAAGAGAGGGCTATAACAAGTCAGATTTTTGTTGCCATCTGTGTCCCATTTCAGAGATTTCCTGTCACTTCCTGCCCCATGACCAAACAAGAAGGGAGGGGAGATCCCTGCGAAGGGAGGGGAGATCCCTGCGAAGGGAGGGGAGATCCCTGCGAAGGGAGGGGAGATCCCTGCGAAGGGAGGGGAGATCCCTGCGAAGGGAGGGGAGATCCCTGCGAAGGGAGGGGAGATCCCTGCGAAGGGAGGGGAGATCCCTGCGAAGGGAGGGGAGATCCCTGCGAAGGGAGGGGAGATCCCTGCGAAGGGAGGGGAGATCCTGCGAAGGGAGGGGAGATCCCTGCGAAGGGAGGGGAGATCCCTGCGAAGGGAGGGGAGATCCCTGCGAAGGGAGGGGAGATCCCTGCGAAGGGAGGGGAGATCCCTGCGAAGGGAGGGGAGATCCCTGCGAAGGGAGGGGAGATCCCTGCGAAGGGAGGGGAGATCCCTGCGAAGGGAGGGGAGATCCCTGCGAAGGGAGGGGAGATCCCTGCGAAGGGAGGGGAGATCCCTGCGAAGGGAGGGGAGATCCCTGCGAAGGGAGGGGAGATCCCTGCGAAGGGAGGGGAGATCCCTGCGAAGGGAGGGGAGATCCCTGCGAAGGGAGGGGAGATCCCTGCGAAGGGAGGGGAGATCCCTGCGAAGGGAACTATTGCCCCCATTGGAAGATTTTCCTTCTATTAATTTTATTGGGGACAACCCAAACTTTGGATTTTCTCTTACTTTCACGTTGAATGGTAATGGTAAACAGGACAAATAGAGAGGGGGAATCTCCCCAACAAGGGCACAGATGGCAATGGAAACCTGACAGGTGTTCTAATCCATCTCTACTCCATTCAAAACTAAAAAAAAAAAAAGTTTTTCCTTTAGTTATATTTTAAGTATCTAAAGCCAACAACTTCATTAGTTTCAGATCAAGTATGGAAGGGTTAAAACTTCTATAATTTTCTTTTGTTGTCAGAACCTTGGAGATTTCCCGCAATTTTAAGATCCAGATACTCAATAGGAAGTGGAAATCTCTAGCATGAGGTGAGGTAAAGAGCGGTCATTCAAACATGTCACCCACTGGAAAGTTTCCCTTTACCCTCATTTCCTGGATCAACTGTCAAGTAGTGATGCACCGAAATATCAGCCAAATAGAGGATTATCAGCGTTTTGCCAGTATAAAAAAAAAAAAGTGTCGATAACGGGTGAATAATTTTATATATATTACAATTTATATTCTGTCCAATTTTCATGATACTTTCAAGAAGTTATTTTAGGTTACTGTATTGTATTTTTCAATTTTTCATGATATTTCAAAAAAGTTGAATACAAATGTATATTAAAAAATTTATATTTTTAAAGACTGTCCATTTCAGTGTTCAGCCAAGTGCATCCTAAATTTTTGGTTTTGGTTCAGAAACTTAGGTGCACCACTACTGTAAAGTTTGTTTTTTTCCCAGCGACACTGGTCATCAGAATGGAGGATGACAACAGTAAAATCTTGACAAGAGTTCTAAGTTCTCTACACTCCCTAAAGCAAGAATAATAAATTGACTTTAGATGGTCTGAAGAAAAAAAAAAATGGAGTTAGATTTACCAATAACTATTCCCAGGAGTCTTCCAGGACAGCCCCTTGTGATATGGCTCCTCCTCCAGGAGGGAAATCAAAATAAAATGAGCAGCCTCTGGTTGTGTTTCCTCTGGCCAGAGGAGATACACTGCCTGGAAAACAACCTTTTCTGATATTGGTTATGGGAATGGCCACAGCTCAAGAGGTTACATTCCGAGCTAGCTAGTGGATCTGCAGGGATACTTAATTTTTCCTAAGCCACTTCTTAAGTCAACAGACACCCTCCATAGCATGGGAGAAATCTGCAGCCACCTTTCCCAGATTGCCGTGGTTCTGTGTGTGAATGGACACATGGAGCAGCAGGTGCCCCCATAGCAAGCTACAAGCAGGGGATTTAACAGCCAACACTATTTTTGATCCATGCCATTTCTGTCAGCAACCAGGGAAAGACTACAGAGGGTTTTGTATGCCAAGCTTATTTCACACAGTTCAAATTAAGGGAGGCAAAAAAAAAAAAAAAAAACACCATTAGCTCATACCTTAATGTATTGAGGAGTCTTCTTGGCTGAGCAGCAAGTTCGGAGTCATAATTTTCTGGATTCAAAAGAAAGCCAAGCTGTAGGTGTTCAGCAGAGTGAACCAAAGAGCTTAGACTGCAGATAACCTCATAGCTGGCTGGCAAGTCTTCCTTCGCACCATCCTGTACAAGAATACAAAATAAACGTTATAGTGCCAAAATATGCAAGCTCAATTAAACCATAAACAAAACACTAGGAGTTGATTTACTTGAGTAAAGACTATTCTAAAAAAAATTAAAATTAAAAAAAAAATAAAAAAAAAAATTCAATTAGCTTAGTAAATATGGTGACACTGTTTACTTTAATACCCAATGTGCACTGAGACAAGAGACACACACACGTGACCCGTTTTATAACTTTGAAAGAAAAAAGGGGTGCTGTTGCGCTTAGGAAAAAAGTTAATTAACATATATATGAAAGAATTAGCTATATGGAGATACCTTTATAGCAGCAGTCCTAAATGTGAATTTCTAAACAAAAATCTAAAAATCAAAGTCCATTTTTTAAATATATAAAAGTTTTACAACTTTAAAGTTCACTTTTGGAGCGTGTTGAGCGATAAGCATTTTAGGATATACCATGGAATATGCTACCAGCACCTTACCCTGCACCCCTTATCTCACTATCCCCTGACAGCAGACATTATTATTATTATTACATTGAGTTTATATAGCGCCAAAGGGTTTGCTCAGCGCTGTACAATAGAGGGGGGGACAATACATGAAACAGTACAGCAACTACAAACAGCACACGAGGGTTAGAGGGCCCTACTCTTTCGAGCTTACAATCTAGGAGGAGGGGAGGGGGTAGTGGTACAGGAGGAAGTGGCTGTGGGGGATGGAGTGGTAGGAGGAATGAAGGAGAACGGCAGTTAGGTGAGGGTGGGGTCTCTCCTTCCTCGCTGTCGCATTTTAAAATTGGCGAGGGTGTGCGGTGCTCCCCTTACATAGCTGTGAATGAAGAAAGTACAAGTCCCGTCTGTCACTGTGGTAGAGGGCTTGTAGTTCAATGAACTACAAGGGCACTGATTAGCACCTTCAGTTCATTTACACTTCTTCCAGCTTTCTAACAGAAAGCCTTACAGAGGTAAGCTGGAGTAAGTGTCTGCAGGAACCTGGCATTGCACTCATGCTCCATTAATCACAGGTCAATGCTTTGCAGGCTCCTGGAAGAAAGAATAATAAAAGATTGTAAGCTCCCAGGATCAGGGCCCTCCTATCCCTCTTGTATTGAACTGTATTGTTGCTGTATTGTCTCCCGTTATATTGTAAAGCGCTGAGCAAACTGTTGGCGCTATATATCCTGTATAATAATAATAATAATACACACATTTAAGTGCATTTCTTTTTTCCCCTTGAAAATGAACTTATCTTTTAGCACTGACACTCAGGAGAAGATGTTCTAAGCACCATTTTACCTTTTCAAGCACCTGTTCATTGTCATCCTTTGAAGTCTCCCTCTTTTTGGAAATAACATCACACAAGTGCTTAATTCCGCTTTTGAACCCGGGGCAGTAACATAAAACCTGAAATGTAAAAGGGACATGCCAAGTTTCAGGCAAAAAAGAATACCAACTCTTGTAATACCAGAACAAACTGTCAGCTATGTACCTGAAGAATGCTGTTCAGGTAGCATGTGTTGCCGAGGTTGTTGAAGCCTACGAATGGAACTAGGCTTTCTTTCTTCACACAGCAGACAGGAGGGGATAACTGAGCAGCAGGTACTACTTGGTCAGAGCTAATTAAAAAAAAGAAATCGTTAGAAAAGGTACAAGATTACTTTTTACACAACCAATGTATGCCTCAATATACAGAAAACCAGAGTTAGACTCGCTGGTGACTTTCTGGGAGTCTTCCCGGACAACCCCCTAAAACATAAGAGCTTGTCCTGGTGGGAGGAGCTCTATGTCTCAGAGGGCTGCCCTGGAAGAGGACTCCAGAAAGGGCAACTAAAGTTCTCCTGGAAAAGCCAACTGTATCCTGTAGTGATATGAAAGACGTAGGAGATACCAGCGAGAGCTGCACAACATCCAGGAGATATGACACTCCCAAATTCATTTTCCCAGCTGATGTCAGGGAACAATTTACACAAGTATTTACAAGTATAATGGGAGAGTTATTTTAATCCCTTAATGCCGTTGCCTCCCAGCCCTTCAAGCCTTTTCTGATGCCAGGAGGTGGGGTAGGGTTTATGATCCCGTGACCCACGTGATTGGCTGTCAGAGCAGTCACATGACTGGAGAGCTCCCGAAAGTAGCAATTAGGAGCATTCCGTTAGATGCCGTTAACTGTCGGGAGCATGCTCTCGGTACAGATTTGTTTACATTTTGGTATGCATATATGCAGCCTCTCGGTATGAAGGCCCAGCCGCCAATAGGCTGCATAGATACGTACTGTCGGTGCCAACAACTTAAAGTGGACCTGCCCTATAGAGTTAATTCAGCGACAAGTGCAGTCATTTATTGCTGCTCTCAAATACCTGCATTAAACTGATCCCTCACTTTTTAGGACCAAGTTTGGACTTCGTATCCAGAAAGGCTGGGCTTAAACTTGACATGTTAAACTGATTTTTTTTTTTGTAGCATTATTCTAAATTTCATCATTCTGAATGAAAAACAAACACTCCTTTCTTCCTCTAAGGCCAAGTTTAGATCATAAGCTCCCCAGTACTTCGGAGTCCGTTACAAATCAGAAAGTCTCAAAAAGGTTGCCTCCACACATAAGGAAACTATACGGGGTTCTGCATTCACTGACACACTGATAAAACTACAAACATTAAAGTGACTTAGGCTACCAGCAGGCAAAAAAAAAAAAAAAGCACAGGCATCTAAATCTGCAGCAGCTTACACGGCTTGTTCTGTGCATAGAGGACTGGCAGGTTTGACTGGCCAAAACATCGGAACTTCTCAAAAGGAGAAGTTCACCTTTGGAATGTGTTCCACCTGTTTTAAGGGTGGAAGATGTAACATGTTCCAGCATCTACACTCTCTCCTACTGATCCCTCCTCCCTGTGACAGCAGGCAGGGAATCCTCTCCCCACACCAGCTGTCACAATTTGAAAACTGTATTGGCTGTGCAGGGTTCCACCCACATCTGCTGACCGCAGGTGCAATGCTCTTCAGGTTCCTTATAAATAAATAATTGCACTTTTTTTTTTAACCAGCGAAAAAAAAAAAAAATTTGCATTTCTCTTTTTTCAAAAGGTGAACCTATCCTTGAATTAAGGTTCACACCTATGCGGCCGTGCGGGCACGAGAGCCCATTCATTTGAATGGACTCCTGTGCCACAGGGGGAAGAAGTCCCTGCACTTTATAAAAACGCAGCCCGCACGGGAACCTCGGTTTCCAGCATGGGTGGGTTTCCTAGTGCGGGTGCCATTAGAACTAATGGCACCCCGCCCGCGAGTCTGCAATTCTCTGTGCGGGGATTTTCGTGCTGATCCACAGTGGCACCACCTGCACAGATGTGAACCTAGGGTTAAATTCAGATATGACCCTGAAGTGCCAGACATATCAGAAGGACAGTTTTCAGGTAGAGGGGACAGGTACGTAAAACAACCTCAAGGCACTAGAACTTTATGCCTGTCTTTTTTTTTTTTTTTTTTTAAAAAAAGGTAACTTAACCTCTGCACGCCGAGCGCACGCAAATGTGCGGCCTCTCGGCGTCTGGGCCTTGACGCCGTACAGCCGCACATTTGCGTGCAATTAAAAAAAAAACGTATGTGCTGAGACCGCGCGCCCCGTGCGCTCCCAGCATACACGTCCGGTACTCATGGAAAGGTCCCGATCTCCTCTTGCGATCGGGACCTTCCCCGATCATGTGACCGCCGTGACAGCGAATCACATGACCCTAAAACCCCGCCCGCCTCCCTATTTCTGAAACCCTTAAAGGGCCGGGAGACGCCAAGGGATTAAGTTGATCTTTTTCACAGGCATATCAATGACTAGTCAACCTATAAAAATATTCTACATGTTCATAAGCAATGAATACCAACAACATAGCATGTGAACCAATCAGCTTACACGTCGGGCTCTTTCTCCTCTACATTCTGGCTTTCGGTTTGCGGTGTTTCGGCAAAGTCTAAAGTCCTTTTGGTTTCTTTCTTCTGGAAGAAGCGTAGAGATAGGCGGTTCTTTCTGGTGGGACTGGCTTTGGCCAGGACAGTTTGACTTTCACACTGGGTAACTCCTGGCATTTTCCTGGTCTTGGGTTCCAATGCCAGTCTATACTGGCAGATTGCTTACGGGATCAAAACAGATGCCTGCAGGAACACAAAAGCATCGTTCAGCCACTTTACAAATGTAAAACCGCGGGCTTTGCTGGCACACAAGGCAAACAATTCTCCAATATTTCTCAATATTCACCACCTCCAATGTGAAAACACAACTCCGTTTCATTAGCTTCTTATTACAAACATCGCCGCTCTGTGCCGATTCACACGCGTGGTGCGGATTGAAGCTCGGGTTTTACAGCTAATGGATACAGTAGTCGGTCAGCGCGTTGCGTCAGGTTTAGATCCGGCTCTCAACTGATGACGTGCAGTTTAGGAACGGTTCCCATAGAAGTCAATAGACTAATCCACACCTGACCCGGACCGCACTGCTCAGAAATCGGACAGGACTCTCTATCAATCTGCACTTTTTATATATTATTCAGGCTCTCTATGGTATGCGTTTCATTTTTAAATTGATAAACCAGCAAAAATACACATTTTTGGGATTTTAAAAGGGCAAGGGCTCATTCACACTTGACTTTTTCCAATTCTTGCCAAACGTCCCTATAGCGTTTGACAAGCGCTGATCCGGCATTTGCGTAGCGTTTTTAACGCTCCAAAAACACCACATGTGCGGTTTAGCGGCGGTTGCTAAGCGTTAAAAACGCCCCACAAACGCCTATAATGAAGTTTGAATGGTGTTAACGTTCCGCAAACGCCTCGCAACTGCACATGCCGGGCGGGCGTTTGCAGAGCGGCACCATAGAGTTGAATAGGAGGCTTCGGCTGGCCATACATTATACAATTTTCTTCAGATTTTCGGCTTAGATTTACCAAAAACCATATAATAGAATGTCAAACCTAACAACACTTTCAATTGTATCCAATTAGACAGGCCCTTGCACTACATAGTTGAAGGGAAATCTAAAGGAAATTGGGCAGAAATTGCACAGAAAATTGTATAGTGTATGGGCAGCCTAACTTCACTTTTGTGGGGGGGAATAGCATATAAAAAAAATAGTATAGCATATACAACTACGACACAAAGTGATATTGTGCTTGAATCAGATAAAAATCAATGTTTTAAAAAAAAAATTATTAAAAAAAAAAAAGATTTTTTTTGATTTAAATCGGATTTTTTTTTATTTAAAATCGGATTTTTTAAAATAAAATGCTTTTTGAGGAAAATATGAATAAGGCTGTATATGTTTAATTTTTTTGGTAAATAAATTCCATGAACCCATTCACAAATGTCATGCTCTTCCAGAGGTGTTTGTAAGATTATTGGGCAGTTTTTCTCTGCCTACAAGATATTATCACAGATGTTTCGGTTTACTTTTGCAGTTTCTCAAAACTGAATTTGACTCAGCGGAGATCACATGCCTCTTCTTCACAGCAAAAATGTTAGAACATGAACAAGTTAAGAAAAAGACCTTCATCCTAACTTCTACAAACCTATGAATACAGAATCAACCCTTCAGTGCTAAGTTTCAGGAAGTTCAGTGAATAGAATAGAAACAATATTTTTCTGATTGTTTGGGAATGGAATAGATCTGCACAAGAAGAAAGTGAAACTAAGTGTGAGGAAGGAAGGGGCTGACAGTGTGAGGAGGAAGGGGCTGACAGTGTGAGGAGGGAGGGGCCTGACAGTGTGAGGAGGGAGGGGCTGACAGTGTGAGGAGGAGGGGCTGACAGTGTGAGGAGGGAGGGGCTGACAGTGTGTGAGGAGGGAGGGCTGACAGTCTACGTTTCTTAAAATATATAGATTTTGTTTAGACCAAATTAGTTACCAAACATGGATGTTTAAGGAAATCACATCTGCTGAAATGTTATTGTTTCAGATGAATAAATCTATTTAAATTGTTATTATTAAGGGAATGATTATTTTTCCTCCTTCCTAAATACAACAAAAAGTTGTCCAAATATGAATGATTAACCTATTAAACTGGGGATAAAAAAACAAATGAAAAGTTGTTGTTCTAAAAAATCTTCATCTACTTGTATATTAAAGTTATACCAGCAAGAATTAGTCTTTATGTAGAAAACTAGGATTTACATCAAGCCTCACTGACTAGTGATTTAAATTGTGATTTTAAATCAAATCACATCCTGGCTTGAATGATTAAAAAATGAAAAATTAAAAAATCCTTTTCAATCCGCAGCGCTGTAATTTTTTCTGTAAAATGAAATATATGGTAACTTGGAGGCATTCTGTACACAGATGGTATACAGAACACCCCCAGAAACATTTCCTGCTATGTGGGATTGGCTCACTTGATTTTCCCAGAAGTCTGCACCAGATCCAAGTCACATTTGGTATCAATAGAAGAAAAAAAAAAAAAAAAACTCCAATCTCAATCAGTGCCGGCCAAACCAAAAACAATCTAAATATAAAACTATATAACTAAATTATTAGAGAATAACTGCAAGGAACAGTTTCACACACCATCAGAACATAAATCAGTAGAAGTGTAAGTGCAGCGCAACCTAAACAAATCAAATCCCCACAACCACATACAGTGCGCACAGACATATTGTGCATAAATATCTAAAGTAATAAAGGTCTACTTTATTTATTTTAGATATAAATGCACAATATGTTTAAACCCTTTGAGGACCATAAGATTACGGAACGCCAAAAGAATCAATTTTTTGTTTTTAAAGTTCGTACACTTCAGTTGCTGTAACTAAGCCATTTTCATGAAATTGGCAAAAAGCGAGATCCATTTGTTGATAAGAACTAATATTTTGACTCAAACCAAAAAAAAAAAAAAAGTATTTTAAGTTCTTAATCAGATGATACAGGCAATTAAAAAAACATGGGACAAATACATCCCTTGGTCCTCAAAGGGCCTAAGGCCCCCGTTCACATCAAGCCCGACTTTGAAATGGTGCGACCTACAGTGAAGTCCGCGCGATTTCAAAGTTGGGGGACCCACCCATTTCAGGTGCGATTTTTTTACAAGACATCTGACACATCTCTATGCAAAAATCGCACCAAAAGTTTTATTATACAGGATTTATAATTTATTATTATACAGATTTATATATTATTATACAGGATTTATATATTATATATACAGGATTTATATATTATTATTATTATACAGGATTTATATTTTTATTATTATACAGGATTTATATATTATTATTATACAGGATTTTATATATTATTTATACAGGATTTATAAATTATTATTATACAGGATTTATATATTATTATACAGGATTTATATATTATTATTATACAGGATTTATATATTATACAAGAATTATATACTTTTATTATACAGGATTTATATTTTATACAGGATTTATATATTTATTATTATACAGGATTTATATATTATTATTATTATACAGGATTTATATATTATTATACAAGATTTATATATTATACAAGAATTATATATTATTATTTATACAGGATTTTTATATATTATTATTATTATACAGGATTTATATATTATTATACAGGATTTATATATTATACGTGGGTACACAAGAATTATATATTATTATTATACAGGATTTATATATTATTATTATTATACAGGATTTATATATTATTATTATTATACAGGATTTATATATTTATACAAGAATTATATATTATTATTATACAGGATTTATATTATATTATTATTATACAGGATTTATATATTATTATTATACAGGATTTATATATTATTATTATACAGGATTTATATATTATTATTATACAGGATTTATATATATTATTATACAGGATTTATATGGCGCCAACAGTTTGCTCAGCGCTTTACAATATAACGGGAGACAATACAGCAACAATACAGGTCAATACAAGAGGGAAAGGAGGGCCCTGATCCTGGGAGCTTACAATCTAGGAGGGTGAATGTAATACTTGTGAAATTGGTGCGGCTCCGACCGAGTCAGAACCGCACCGATAGGACCGCTCCATTTGCGGACAATAGAGTGTGATTTAGGCCAAAATATATTCCGCTCCGTGTCTTTTGCTAAAAAGAAAAAAAAAAAAAAAAACAAATCCCAATACGTGTAAATTAATTGGTTTATGTGAAAGTTACAAATGGCGGTATAGATACGGGATTTTATAAATTTATTTTTTACTACTAATGGCGGCGATCAGCGACTTATAGCGGTACAGAAGCGGACATTCTGACACTGAGGGGAACTGACTTGGTGTCACTACATACCCAGCAACACCAATACAGTGATCAGTGCTAATAAAAAGCCCTGACGCTGTACTAATGACACTGGGCAGGAAGGGGTTAATATGAGGGGTGATCAAAGGGTTAACTGTGCGCAGGGAGTGTTTAACTAGGGGGCGGTGTCTGTGCGCTTCACTGTAATCACACTGCTTTGGATGGCTGTGCGCTGGAGCTGACAGGGAGGAGCACTGTTAGTAAACAAAACAGTTCTCCTCCCCGTCGGAGATCCTCGACAATCACCGGCCGGGACCCCGTGATAGCCACGCCCCGCGAATGGCGGTGCAGGTAGGGCGTGCGCCCCCTACCCGGAAATGCAAAGTCACGTATATATGATTTTGCACACCCGTGCCGCCCTGTAGCAGTACTTCTGCTATAGGGCGATCAGGAAGTGGTTAAAGCAGACCTCCGCCCGGAATAAAACTTATTTTGGAAAGAGGGGGTTATAACCCATCAGGTTTTTTTGTTGCCACCCGTGTCCCTGTTGGGGGGGGGGGGGGGGGGGATTTCCCTTCTCTTCCTGTCTCATTGCCAAAACAGGAAGTGAGGAAATCCTTCCAAAGTGAGGGAATCCCTGCTTGTCACCAGAACTGGCATCCCCATTGGAAGATTTCCACTCTACTCCTGTTCTTGTATTCTTTCAACAGCAACACCAAGAACAACAAACAGAGAGGGGTGAACCTCCCTAACGGGGGGGGGGGGGAGGGTGTAAGAGGGGAGGGGGGCACAAACTGCAATAAACCTGGCAGGGGTTCTAATCCCTCTCCACTCCAT